AACCACACAAAAAAATCTAGATATTTCTAGCTTCTCACTTTGTTTCTTATTTAGTTAGGCCATATACAGTCAAAAGTCGTTAATCTGGACTCGTCGGGACTTCGGCGATTCCGGATTATCGATTTTTTCGGATTATAGATCATCAGTTTAAATCTGGTAAGATGGCATGCAGAAATTACAAAATTAAAAATATGAAACCGTAATTTATGAAATAAAGAACAATTATGATTTAAAGGGTAACAAAATTTACAAAAAGAAAAAGCTTAATATTTATTTGTTTACTTTATTAAACATTTCCTTCAATGTAAGTTGCTTCGTTTCATGTGATAATACTTTCTCTTTAATTCTATTAAACAGACATAATTTCTTGTTTAGTTACAAAGTTCCTATAATTCAAGTCCTATAATTGCTGTGTTGAGAATACCGACTAATTTGTCAATCGAAATGTTTTCGTTTTCAATAACCTCTGGGTCACTTTCTTCACTATCGGAAGCGAATTATAATGACGAGGAACTTGATTTAAATCATATCAAAGACGGAGTAGATCGAGATGAAATACTACACTTAGTACGGAATTATAAACCAAATAAAATAAAAACATCTGCCCTGAAGATAAGGATAGTGCTGACAGATTAACTTCCAATCCGCCTCGTGAAATTGATAAACAGATTTCAGATTTCAAAACATACTTTCGCTTTGTAGATACAAATTACAAATTAGTAAATATATATCGGAAATTTTATTTGACATAATCTTTCTAATCTATCATAATCTAATAATGACGTTTCTGCCCCCCCCCTCTGCCGCAGAGCAGCGTGAAATTGATAAACAGATTTCAAAACATACTTTCGCTTTGTAGTAAATATATATCGGAAATTCTATTTGACATAATCGAACGTTCAAGCTTACTTTTATAAAATTGCTCTAACAGTCTGCAAAAAATAATAAGCCGGATCCAATTCGAAGATTAAGGAACAACGCAATCTGCAACATTAACTGAATTAGATAACTTTAGCTTAGCATATAACTCCGTTACACATTAATCGCGCATGCGCACAAACATATTCGCAGCCGTAAGGGTCTTACGCGCTCTCGCAAACGCCTGTGCGCATGCATGAACGCGACGCATGCGCAGAAAGTTTGTAGCTTTACGGTCCGGATTATAGATCATTTCGGATTATGGGTGTCCGAATTAACGACTTTTGACTGTATCTTGTTTTAATTAATTATGAACTTTTTACAATAATTTGTGGTTCCCCTCTGAAGAGGGCGCTTCCTGGGATGCAGCGGCACATAGTTCGGGAAACACTAATGTAGAAGATCCTTTTATGCAAATTTCAGATCTCCTAAATTTTAAATTGATTATCTAATAATATTGCATGTTAAATGTTTACCAAAATTACTGTTTTTACATTACATACTAATAACAGTCTTAAATATATATTTATTGCCAATTTTTATTATTCTTCATGTTAAAATGTGTCACTCAGTTTTCCTATCAGCAGAATAATTATTGCTATACATTTATTTCATAACCAAAATTTAAAGCTATACCACAGCAATAAGAAAAAAATCTGATGTATACACCACATAACTTCCTTGTACGGAATATTAAATTATATGCATTTTTTCTTGCATTTCATTTAAACTTATTGGATTGAATTAAATCTACTTCATTGATAGCACATAAACCACAATAGAATAAATGTACTCTTTAAAATTCACTATATTTTATACCATAGCGACACTCTGGCACTAGATTCACTTAACAGCATTATATTTTGTTTATATTATAACTCAGAATGCACAAATTTTATATCATTTGAAGAGTTATCTAATTGTTGCCACATGTTCTATTCAAATACTATAATAAATCTAGAACGATGTATAAAAAAAATTAAGCACAAAAAAAAAAAAAAAAAAAAAAAAAAAAAGGAAAAAAAGAAAAGAAAGAGTTTTTCACAGATGATTCAGTATTTCTCATTCAATTAATTCAGTTCTCACTTCGTGACAAGGCAAAAATACATAAAAACTCAAAATATCTATATTAAAAATCTTGAAGTAAATCTTAAACACTTATTTTCTCGAAAAATTACAGAAAGAATTACGCGTGATTTAATTCGCAATTATAAATGAAGGCATTATCTTTGTTGTTGCGAAGCTTAGTCTCTCTAGATTGGCAACAAATATACTATTCTGCTGTTTTAAATGTAAACAAACATGTCCACCATGCTGTTTAAAAATTACACTTAACCGCACTTAAACAGCTTTAAATTGTTGATAATTCTACAAATATTGCTTGCATATTTCCTAAAGGCATAAAAATCTCAACCGGAAGATGAGAACAACATAATTCAATCATTTTTAAAGTAAAAAATGCACCATATACAAACATATATGAGTAAAGAAACTGTGATCACCGAGCCGGGTAACAGAGTGGATATATATATAAATATATTTATATATTGTTGCATTTTTTTATTCTTCTGACACCAGTTGTTACGTTATTTTCTTCCTTCACGTTCGTATAGGGTTCGTAGATTTGGAGTGAATAACGACGACACTGGATGAAATATTGAAACACACTTTATTTATCAATATTAATCAGGACAGCTCCAAAACACTTTTACAGTCGTCGAAGATCTACTACAAACATGCTGGAACAATCAGCGACACAGCCTTCACACTGTCAGGCAATAACGGTGGAGACAGCTTCCTGCAAAGCACCCGACTCTGCTTTCCGGAGTACAGCTCCCGACTCTGCTTGGTCGTTCTCGGAACTCCACGTACTCTCGATACTCTCCACGCTACAACTCGCGATGCACTCGACGACACACGAGCACAGCTCCCGACTCTTCGGTTCAGTCGTTCCAGGAGGTCAACACGCTCTCTTGACGATGCACTAACTGTGATACACTAAGAGACACCTTCGGTGCACTCAACGACCCAATTGGCACTCGTTGCCCGGCTGTCAACTCGATCGACTCCGTATGTCTCCCTAGACGAGGCACACTTTCTGAGACACACTAACTGACGGCGAACCAGCAGGGTTTACCTAGCTTTCGGCTTGTGTTCGAGAACATTCTGAGCTACACCGGTAAGAATTCATTCCAGAAGGTTCTCTATCCGTCCATGGGACGTCAGCAATTTTGTCGCTAAATGGGCAATTTCTCGACAAACATGGCAACCTTCCCTTCCCTTGCCATTTTATGCCAACCCTAAAACTGCTTTGCGGGGAAGCTATCTCACCGCGCCTGTACATTTCGTAACAATATGTTTGGTGTGGCTGATTGCAACCAAAATATGAGGTGCACATCTACATGTTATAGCAGTCCTATATACAAAATTTCAATGTTCTGAGGCTAAACGTTTTGGAGTTATGCGAGATACGTACATACAGACTACAGACACCATGAAAAATTCTCTTCGGAATTAATTTTAAAGCAGTTTTATAATTTTGGGGGATGAAAAAGGTCTTTTATTCTGTCCTTACGTAGAGATATCACGCAAAAACATCACTAAATTGTATTTTATAGCAGTCAAAATGGATATTTTCGTTGAAATATGCTGCCTGAAACTTTTCGCGATTACAATACTTCCTTTTTACTTCGTACAAGGAAGTAAAAAAGACATCTGATAAGAAAGCTGTTCAAAGACGAATAGTCCTGTTACTTACTGCATGTGAAAATAATAAAATGAAGATTATTAAAGTGTCTCCACAAAGAAATGTTTTTTTTATCTCTCAAAAAAAAAAAAAGGGGGGGGGTGGATGAACAATTGGATTTTTAATTCCTGATAAATTTTATACTAAGAATGTACAAAAAAAATTATAACATAGAAAATATGCGACACATACTACATGTGAAAATAATAAAATGAATGATTTTTAATGTTCACAAAACATTTAAAGTAAAGCTGAATGCTAACATCTCATGAGAAGAAAAGATTTAAGATAAAGGATTCTTAAATAATAGGGCTTTCTTTTCATTTTGATAATATGTAGACTCAGATTACATAAAAATTTCCTACTCGGAATGCACATAAATAAAAAAGGTACTTGCATATTATCCCGTCAACCACGAAAGTTCACTGTGCCGGATGTTCATGCGAAATTCTGAGCAACAATTTATCTACAATGGTTACAATAATTCATTTGTCACCCTGTTTGCACAAGCCAACAAACAGCTATTCCTGCAGAAGTATTCAACATACTTCATTTTTTAGCTTTGTAAAAAGGCTTTTATTGATTGCTATTACTTTACTAGGCCCTAGATTTCACCTAATGCTCTGTTATCTATGAGTACAAACTTCTCAATATAATTGAATCCAGCTATTTTTCCTTCTTTCAACAAATGTAAATGAACTGGTGTTTGATTACAAAAGTGATTCTACAACCCACAAGTTGATTTTCTTCAAAATGCAAGGAAAAAATACAGCAGTAACAATTAATAAAAAAATGGTGGTTTGTTGAGAATCCAGTAGGGTCTCCTTAAATGAAAGCGCAGATGTGCAGTGTGTTTTGATGCCACAGCTTATCCATAATTGGCACTAAATCGCACATCTTGGCAACATTCTCACAGTTGGCAGGATAATACATAAGCAACATGAAAAATACAAAATATTATTAATTGGTAATTTTAGCTTTCCAAAGTTTAAATGAAATCATTTCATCACACACATAATAAAAGTACAAAGCAACAGAACAATTAAAAATAAATAAATGCAAATGCAATATACATTAGCAAATATAATGCAGTTTAAGTCTGCCTATAGTTGAAATGGATTTGTACGTATGTCATACACAAGAGCTTTCTCCATTAAGCACTTCTTATATGGGCAGTTCTCAATAACTTAACCGTCCATCTAAAAGACAAAAGACTCAAGTGTGTGTATATCTTTTGTTCAAATCATTAAGTACATCATATACATGGTTCCTCTCCTGAGTGAAGAAGAACATGCTTCATTAAATTACTCTTTCGGCTATATGATTTGTTACATACTTCACACACATGAGGTTTTTCTTCTGTGTGAATAAACATATGTCTATTCAAAATGGCCTTTAATAAAAATGACTTATGACATGTTTCACATACATGAGATTTCTTTCCTGTATGCACAAGCATATGCCGGTTTAAAGTACTTTTGTCTCCAAATGACTTATCACATACCTCACAAACATGAGGTTTCTCTCCTGTGTGAATAAGCACATGTCTATTTAAACTGCCCTTTAGAGCAAATGATTTGTTACACATCTCACACACATGAGATTTCTTTCCTGTATGAATAACCCCATGTTTGTTTAAAGTACTTTTGTGTCTAAATGACTTATTACATACTTCACATGTGAAACGCTTTACAGTTGTGTGAAGAAACATATGTTTGTTTAAATCGCACTTTAGTCTAAACAGTTTGCTACAGATATCATACACATGAAGTTTTTTTTGCCTGTGTGAAGAAGCATATGAATATTAAATTCATGCTTTTCTTTAAACGACTTATTACATACTTCACACACATTTTCTTGCATGTGAACACCTAAATGCACAGTTAATTTATTTTTTGCTCTAAATGATTTGTGGCATATCTCACACACATGAGGTTTCTCTCCTGTGTGAAGAAGCATATGCTTATTTAAAGTATTTTTTAATCTAAATGAGTTGTTACATATAGGACACATATGAGGTTTTTCTCCTGTATGGACGAGCAGATGCATGTTTAATCTACCCCTTTGTCTAAATGATTTATTACATACCTCACACTCATAAGGTTTTTCTCCTGTGTGAAGAAATATATGTTTATTTAAAGTATATTTTAATCTAAATGATTTATTACATATATAACACAAGTGTGGTTTTTCTCCAGTGTGGATAAGCATATGAGTTTTTAATTTACTCTTTTCTCTGTATGCCTTATTGCACACCTCACAAACATGGGATTTTTCTCCTGTGTGAAGAAGCATATGCATGTTAAGTTTACTCTTTTCCCTAAATGCCTTATTACATACATCACACACGCGCGGCTTCTCTCCTGTGTGAATAAGCATATGTATGTTTAAATTATCCCTCTTTGAAAAGGACTTATGACATACCTCGCACATAACAGGTTTCTCGCCAATATGAAGAAACATATGTCTATTTAAAATATTCTTGAAACTAAATGATTTGTTGCATATCTCGCACACATGGGGTTTTTCTCCTGTGTGACGAAATGTATGTTTACTTAAAGTGTGTTTTAGTCTAAATGATTTGTTACATATCTCGCACACATGAGGTTTTTCTCCTGTGTGAATAAGTAAATGCTTTTTTAATTTACTTTTTTCTCCGAAACTCTTGTTACACAACTGACACACATGAGGTTTCTGTTCTGTGTGAAGAAACACATGGTCCCTTATATCGATCTTTTGGTACATGATCTTTAAGATATCTCTCACACACAAGGTTTCTATCCTCTGTAAAAGCACATACCTATTTAAAGCACTCTTGTATCTAAATGACTTATACCTCACATGTATTAAATTTTTCATCTCAGTAAATTAATATATGCATGCTTAACTTATTACACACCTTACACTGTACAACTATCTGCTCTGTGTGTGGTTCTTTATACCCCTTTTATGTTTAAGTGATATATTACACTATACACATAAAGTTCTTTTCAAATGTGGACAAGCATCTATTTGTTTAAATCATCTATTATTTAAATGATTGTTTTATATATTGTATATATCAAGTATACCATGTCTGTCATTGGCATGATGATGTCTTACACATTTCACAAAAGTTTCCAGCATTCAAAAACAAGTAGAATCTTGAGATGACTTTTTACATATGTCTATTCTGTATGAATATAAATGAAGTTGGTTGACTTAACATTTTGGTCCAGATTACATTCTAGATGCTTTGTAGCTAGAATCTTTTTGTTCCCAATGTACAGATATGCACATATTTGAAAACAGCATTCATTGATTTGTTTATCTTCAGAGCGATGAAAAACATGTTAATTTTTTTTCTTTATAAAATAAAATGTAAACTGATTACTTTTTTTAGATGTTAAAAAAAATCTTGAAATTGTACTGCCTAGAATGTATAGATTTACTTGGTATCGTAAAGATGTTCATGAACTTCTATAACAAAAGTAACTACAAGCGTAATATTTAAACATAATTGGCTTGCTTCTGTTGAGATTGCGAGTGTGAATTTCATTCGGAATTCAAACATAATGGAAAATAGCGCCAAATAGATTCCACATTTTTCTCCAACAGACATGAGAAGTGTTGTGCACTCAGAAAGGAAAACATATTATTTTTAAAATTATTTCTGCCGGCGAAAAGACGAAAGTACTGCTTTGTAACAACAGTGTTTTGAAAACTGAAGTGCTATTGCCAGATCTTAGGCGCAAAAAAAATTCCTCTAGAATTAATAAAAAAATTAATTTTTAATATGTCATTAAACTGTAATATTTCGCTTAGGCTGTAGAAGAAAATAACCGCTTGAAATACCCTTACGGTTTAACAAATTACTAGACACAAATTTTTAAACATCAACTTTGAAATACTAATCTCCGAGAGACACGCAAAGATGCATTTGCCTTTCCGAATGGCTTTAATTCCGAATTTTTTTTATATTAAGCAAGGAGGTTAACCTCCTTGATATTAAGCATTATCACAGTTTTTCTTTTCCTTTTACTTATTAAAGAGGAAGCTTTTGTTTCTCAAAATATGGCATCAGAGTTTTAGTTTTAATTACGCTTATTGTAGACGGCGTTTACGGGTGATGATTTTGGTGTAAATTAATGCTAAGATTTTGCTCTTTATAATAAAATACTTTGTGTATGATGTTTAGCGAAATGTGGAATGTGTTCAGTATTTTTCTCCATTAAGCTAAATGAAAAAGTTAAAATAGTGTTATATTTTTGGCCATCGTGAGTTTATCAGTCTAAAATATTATCCAGAAATCATTTTGTGAAAATTAATAATTATTCACACATGTATGTGCTGTGTAGCATGTCATTAGGGCATAAACAGGAAGCACTTCCGCAAAGGATCTGAAGCATTCCTGAAATAGGAATGTGCTTCTTCATATAGGGAAAAAATATAATATCTGTGACATATGTAAAAAGACAGAAGAGAATACTTTAAGGTGCATTTATCCTGACAGAAAACATGTGTAAGGATTTTTTTTTTTAAATTTTTTTATTTTAAGTAGTAATTTTTAACCAGCATTTGTAGCTTCAGAATAGTGATAGACTTTAAATGTGTAATATGTGTAACAAGTGATTTAGACAAATAATAATAATAATAATAATAATATAAACAAGTGTATGTGCCTCCACATGTGAAACAAATTATGTATATGCATTAATATATGGTGTAGTAAGTTATTCAAAGAAAGGAGTAACTTAAAGATGCATTTGCTTTTTCACAAAACATAAAACCTCACATGGTGTATAAAATAAATCATTTAGTGAAAAGAGTAAATTAAATATGTACATGCACACAGAAGGTAAACCTCATATATGTGAGGTGTGTAAAATATCATTCGAAAACAAAAGTGTCTTAAAGAAGCATCTGGTTTTTCATATAGGAGAGAAATCTCGCATGTGTCAGGTATGTAGTAAGTCATTTAGAAGAAAGAGTGACTTAAACAGGCATGTATATATTCACACAGGAGAAAAGCCTTATATATGTGAAGTATGTAATAAGTCATTTAGTGAAAAGAGTAAACTAAGCATACATAATCTTCTACACACAAGAGAAAAACCTCACGTTTGTAATATCTGTAATAAACCCTTTAAACTAAAGTGTTATTTAAACAGACATCTACTTGTTCACACAGAGAAGAAACTTCATGTTTGTGACATATGCAACAAATCATGTAGACACAGAAGTACTTTAAATGAACATGTGCTTATTCATGTAGGACAGAAATATCATGTTTGTAAAGTATGTAATAAATTGTTTAGACAATTGGGTAATTTAAAAATGCATATGCTTATTCATGCAGGAGAAAAGCCTCATATGTGTAAAGTATGTAATAAATCATTTAGAGAAAAGTGTAAATTAAATTTGCACATGCTTCTTCACACAGGAGAAAAGCCACATATATGTGAGATATGTAATAAGTTCTAATTCAGAAGTCAAACAACAAAAATCAGCGTTATACCTACAAAATTTTCACAGGACTAGTTTCGATGGTTTTACCGAACCATCATCTTCAGCTGCAAAACCGCAAATGAAAATTGATCCCCAATTTTATTCAAATCAAATCTAATCAAAAACTTTCGAGTCGCGTTTATAGAATTCTGTTAAATTGCAAGCTTGCCTTACTTCGGTCCGTGATAAAGGATACACGTCAACAATTGTCCAAAGTTGAACATGAACTCTATAAGCTTCATCTGGAACTCGCTAAATCATATCCAAAATTCACTGGCCTTGAGCAAAAGTCTTGGTCTAGAACGGAGAATGCAGTTAACCGTCATAAAAACACCCTTGCAGTTAAATTCGAAAAACTTCTTTTACAGTCTTCCAGTTCAAGTAGTTCAAAAAATCTTCCCATTGTAAACATCAAGCCAATAGTTAATATTTCTAATGTTAGTCTTTCAGAAGAACAAGAGAGAATTCTAAAATATAATTTTAACTTCTCACAAACCTGTAAACCCTCGACTTCCAAAGATTTTGGCTCCTATCGAAAAAGCTTTCTTCAAGTTCAGTAAAGTTTCAGATTCACAGAAAGAAATGATTAGGCATCTTATCGCTCATAATGTGAAATTCAATAATAAACCTTTGAAACCAAATCTAACTGCGAGAGAAAGAGCTACAATGCGCGAAATTCATTTTAACCCGGATATTATCATTTCAAAGGCCGACAAAGGTGGCCAGATAGTCGTCATGGATAAGAACACTTACATCGATGGTGTCACTAAACTCTTAAACGAAGGACCATATAATCCGATCCCTAAAGATCCTTCACCTTCGGACTTATCCAAAATAAAAACTGCGATCAAATCTTCGCAAATCATTTCAAGCAACTTAAAAACATTCGCTTATCCCATCTGTTGCGAATTGTGCCAGATTATATGCTCTTCCCAAAATTCATAAAAGTGGTATTCCTTTCCGCCCTATTGTATCAAATTTAGGTACTGCCTCGTATCCTTTAGCTAAATATTTAGTTTCTAGATTTTCCACTCTATTAGACAATAACATTTACACCATAAAAAATTCAATAGAGTTTGTAAAAAAGGTTAAAAACATTTC